AATATATATCAGAAGAAACTCCACTGGTGAACAGGTGAACTATAAACATTGCATGGTTTGTAGCGGTGACCAACATTTTGTTTCTCCTTTTTGAGGCTATGTACAGCCATACGTGTACCATTCTCGTCCCCAGAGGCCACGCTCCTTTTGGTCAGGACCAAGAATCACAACCTCTGGACAGTCCAGTGAGATTTCGGTTCTGATTTGCTTTGCAAACACAATAGAATGAGACTGGAACCAATCAGATTTGTCAGACGTGACTCTGAGCATGTGCAGAGTGACGGGAAGCCTGTGAAACGCGGACTTCTGGTGCTGGAACCAGCCAGAGGTCACGATTCTTGGTGTTGATCAAAAGGAGCGCGGCCTCTGGGGACTAAAATGCATATGTACATAAACAAATATTTGATGAGGATTTGAAAATTGGTTATCTGAGGACTGCGGGGGCATAGCTAGGGGGGTCCTGGGGTGCCAGTAACCCCCTTTTTTGTAAGCCTTTTGTAAGTAAACAACCTACAACCGGTGGCATAAAACGACATGACAATCTGGCGAGTACCTTCACCTTGACACAGTGTGACCCCCCTTCCCCTTTGAAAAACCTTTGTTATGCCCTAGACTATGCATCAGGAATTTTAGTATTTTTGATGTCACGCTTTACTCTAAAGAGTGGATGCATGCCCTTTAGACATCTAGACACATATGGCTAATATGCTAGTTGCATTTACATATATAATTGCAGCTCAATGTTTGATCATCAATTGAATAAATTATTGTCAATAATCCTATCTTCCTGTGATTACTAATAATAAGAATTCTTGGAGAATTTATGTTTTAATAGGTTAACTGAATCAGTTTTAATAAATACTACATGTAACTAAACTGAGTGTATGGTTGATGTTGTCTGGAAGGACCCTTTTTCACTCGATGTGCCATTAGATATGAAAAGAAATCAATAATCATTATAATATACCGGTAATAGCACAATCACCTGTATTGACAACAATGATGATGATGATGATTATGTCGACGGCAACAATGGACCAGTTTTATTGTTATTTGAATTTTTGACAATTTATGAAAATTCATACTACACATGTAAATGAAGCAAAGGTTATACTTAACTATCACATACATTTCCTCTTCATTGTCTCTTTGCAGTGGCGCCAATCACAGATTGTCAGTATTATCAGTGCACCATTGCAAATGTTGAATCCGGTAACCAGTGATGTGGTAAGGACTCTGTCGTAAGAGTTTGTCCTCACTAAATCTACAGTATTGTACATAACTTGTTTAATATTGGTAGAGCACTGCCTTCTGCCCATACATTGGGAGTCAGACAGTGTAAAAATCTGGAACGGAATTTGATTCAAACCCTTAATTTTTAACATGTGAATAATGGTAAGCAAGGTATCATTTAGTTAACAAAAGCATGCAAACTTCTCTTTGAAATTCAGTAGATGTTTTTTGTTTTTTGTTTTTTTTTTGCAAACTGAATAGTCTTTTTTAGAGCTTCTACATCATTGGAAAATAATGTAAAAAAACTATACAATTCAGGGACGGGAAACAGAGAAGGAACTGCCCTGCACGTAGTGTTGCTATCACATTTTTACCATCAAATTAATGAAATCAGGCAAAGAAAGTCTAACAGGTTTTTGGTACATGTATGTTTATTTTTTTTTATAATTTGGAGTTATTTTGTTTTTGGACAATAGAAATTCAATTCCAGCAGAGTTTGAAAGACCTTCATTACTTTGCAAATGAACGTTGTATGTGCATATAATATTTTAGTGCACTGTGAAGAAAAGTGCCATGAAAGTAATGACAGTTAAAATACATGCATCATTGTTTTGATTATTTTCATTTCGCAGCCTCCAGTAGAGTACTTATCACTGGAAACAGTTCAGAAGTGGATATTGTGTAAGTCCTCAACTACTTGGTTTTGTGGCCTGGGCTGCTTGACCTGTCAAACAGTGACCCAGAGCTGGAGATTTCTAAACATTCACTGATAAGTTATGTGGGATAATACCCCAGACCAACTGTAAAAGTCAGTGGAACCTTGACTTTCAGTCTAGTATTGCTTTCATATACAGTGAAACCTGTTTTAAGTGAAGTCACAGACTTTTCTCCCTACTTCTTTTGTAAGTTAACTAACCATTATTAAGAGGACTTCTCTATTAAAGGCATTGGGCTTCAGTGTAACCCAGTGGCTGATCTTTTCCACAGAGAATTCTGATAAAATCGATGAGTACCTTTTAATAATGATTGCAAGTTAAGCCAGCAGCCAGTCACTTGGTTATACTGGTTCCGATTTGGCAAGGAAATATGAAATCCCTTTACAAACATGTACAACTGTACTTCAGTCAGTTTTAGTAAGCATTTGCCAAAACCAACGCCAGTTACTTCCTCTGACTGAAATACTGTAAGGTTTCAATGTATTGCATGAATGTATGTATAGCTTTGTGTTTACTTGCAATTTTCTTCTGTTGGCACCATAGTTGGATACACACTCTGCCATCAGCAACTTGCCATGCCTGGTGTGACAGACATGTGGAAGGTTGCGCTACAGGACGGCTACTGTATCACTTTGTTCCGGGATGAAATCATCATGTTTCATAAGGAATTCCAGAATTTACTTGATGGAATGAAAGGGTATGTGAGAGATGCATTGCATTATTTGGAAAAGTTTCATTCTAAATGAGTATTTTAATTTGTACTGAACATTTTTTTTGCTAGATACAACAAGCGGGTAAAAGATATTCAAGATGCTGCTACACAGGCAATAGCAACAAGGTAGTATCAGGAAATAAATTCAATCTTGATTTCTGAGAACCCACAATAACAATAATTAGTCGTGCAATCAAAACTCATTTCTCTTGGATTTCTGTCACTTTAATTTTCTTCATTTCCCTTTTGAGATTAAAAAAGCTACATGTATGTACAGTAGTATTCCATGATACCTAGTACCACTTCAATCAGCGCATGTACCTCTTTTCTTATTAGCTAAGAGCATGCAGTAAATTGCAGAAATTTGGTTCATGTGCTAATTCCTCGAAAAACTCTGTCAGTGCCTCAAAATTTGAGACACTCTAATTTCAGCATCCAGGATCGATTCAAATTCTGGGTTTTACAAAATTTTCATTTGAATTCTTCCTCTTAAGATCTACCTTGTGAATTTGTCCTTGCTACTAGCATGTTTTTAACTGAATTCCTATAATAATTGTTGTTATAATTGTTTTTTTTTTTATTTGCAGAGGCCCAGTTCACAAGGAGCGACGTAATTATCTTAGGACTGCATTAAAAGAAATGTCATTGATTCTTTCTGATCAACCAGGTCTCTTAGGACCCAAGGTAGAGGTTTCCTTTTTTTCATATCATGTTGCCTGCTTCATTGAACATAGAGTACTTGATGTACATAATATACAGCTGTATCAAACAAGAAAGATTGTGTTTGACCGCATTTCCAAACACTGAGGATTCAACTAAAACTACAACACATGGCAGAGTATTTTTGATGAACTTCAAGGTGTTTGTAAATGAGGTCAAGCATGGTCTTGAGTGTTTGAAATGCCCTCTAAAGCAAAGCAAAACCTGAGGAGAAAACAGAGAAACAAAATCTTAAAAATCTGCCCTTATTGAAATTGGTCGTCCAGACACTGTCACAAGCCATGATTTTGTTTGTTTAAACTTGTAGTTATTAATGAGTTTGAAAAGTCATTTAAGACTTGTTTTTGCAAAACCTTAGTTGGTGAACATCCTTCTTCACAAGCTCCTTTACTTTAAAACATTTTAATTAATGTATGCACTTTTTAGGTACATGTATTTTACTTGATTTAATTGATCAGTTAACGTTGCTTGTTTGTCGTCAGATTCTTGTAGTGCTTGAAGCATTAAGCATGGCCAAAGACGAAATCATGTGGCTTGTCAGACATGCGTGTAATTCACCACCAAAAGGAAGAAAGTTGAACCAAGAAGACTATGTTGATGTGTAAGGCCTTATGGAAATACATGTCAATTTAAAACAAATATGTAACATCAATTTATAATGAATTGAAGGGTTTTGCTCTGGATCAAGAAGTCTTAGTTCAAATGCTGGGCCCCGAGCTGGGCAGGGTATTGTGTTCTTGGGCAAAGCACTTTTACCCCCACTGCTATGGCAGCAGAACAAAATACTGTTAGATGACCTGTGTGATACAGAGTGCAAAGAAAACAAATTTTTAGGCTTGCCTTTTGGGCAAGCTCAGTAAACTAGATGTACTAGCCCAAAAATAATTCTCACTAGCCACCCAAAAGGTCCTCATGCAGTACATGTATGCAATGTACTTCAATCTGTCTTTTGGATTTCCACAAAACTTTGCCCAAGAAACTTCACCTGCCCATGCAACAAGCTAAGTGATGGACAGAATCCACCAGTCCAACTGAAAAATCCACTAGCCCCGCGCTATCCGACAGGACTTTTTTTCCAGATAAGTGTTGGGGTGTTTCAAAGTTCATGTAGAGACTAGTTTTTGATATAATATATCAAACACGAGAGACAGATATCCAAACACCAAGAAGAGAGCTGAAAATGAGATGTGCAATGGAGTATTTATGACAAAATTTGAGGTGTTTGGATAGCAGATGAAACACTGTCTCGAGTGCTTGATATATCTTCTCAATCAAAACAAAAACTAAGGAGTAAATGGAGAAGTAAAATTGTCAAAATCTATGCAAATTAAGACCAGGTCTCCAAACCTCCTTCACGGCAGTGATTTTCTTTGTTTTAACTTGATGAATTATTAATGAGTTTGAGAAGTGTCCTTCATATCATAAAAGTTTCTGGACCCCATATTAATTTTTCCCCTTCCCCTCCTTCTCTGTTAACCCCCACTTCCTCCCTAAATGTTAGAACATGAGAATATATTTTGAGGGAACCTATTAAATTAAATTTGTTTGTCATTCACTTTTTATTGCTACTTCTCCATGGAGATGTGTTGTTATATAGCAATAAGCATTTTCACAGTCCACTGTATTTCTCTTAATTATACCCCAAGTGATTGTATGATTTGAAATACCTCCTTATTAATAATTCTTTGCACCCCTGTTGTCTTTTTTTTTTTTTTTTTTTTGAGTGATTGCAAAGCAATCAGTTTTAATTTGTCTTATTAGGTCTAAACATTGCTTTTCATGTTGTTGATTTTGTCAGCAAATTACCCCAGATGTTGCTTTATGTGGAGGAAGTCAGAGGTAGGGGTAATTCAAACAGTTTTGGTTAAATGGATGTGCAGCTGTAGAGGTTCCTGAGCGATACATCCTGTTTGAGATTTTATATGTGTTGTTTAAATCTCAGGGCTATCTGGTTGGATAGTCATTTTTGGGAAGTTTTTAAAAATTCTTGTTTGTTTTCTCCAAAGGTGCAATTCAGAAGTATGTCTCGGTGTTGCAGCGGTATTTTGTCCAGTACTTAGGCGGCTTTGATGTCGCAGTACTCAAGGAAGTTGTACAGGTCTGTATGCCACATGTACAAATGTAACATATTGTCTCATTCACAAAATGTTCATTGCCATCCATGAGATAACACGTGCTGAGTCGATGCTCTGTGGGGATTTGTAAGGTTTAGATTTGCTTGTTTCTGACATACATGCACTTAATTAAATAGATGGCTACATTAGTCTATGCATTGATCAGTTAATCAAATTTGTCAAAAGCATCAAGAACGAGAAAGGTTCATGCCTCCCATGCCTCCCCTCCCTCCCCGCTCATGCCACTTGGCTTCCAGCATGTTGACACACAATTCGCAATTTAGGACTTTTATTTTATTTTATTTACATACCGTAGAGTGTACATGCTAGCCTGGTTTTCTGTTTGCAGAAAATTTCAGTCTGCTCTGATGATATATCCATGATAATGACCTCGTTTATTGATGATCTGTCACAGCTTAATGTCAAGCAAGGTACAGCATGGGTTGTTCAAATGTTGTATAATGTAAAGAATTACAATAATGATGTTCTGTTGTTATGTACACTCTTGCGTGAAAGGAGTCGGTATGCAATGTTCAAGTTTCATTCTACGGATATTGTCGTAGGAATTAATAAAATTGGTCTTCTATCGTGATTTAGTGGATGCTTAGCGCCCAAATAATTTATGATTGGTTCTCTCTTCCTGTGTACTCACTGTTAGAACACAGTTGAGTGTGCATTGCCCTTGAATTGGAAAAAACATTACTTGTGTTCTTGAATTTTGGATTAAAGGGTTTTCCTTTATAAAGTAAAGACTGAAAAGTAATTAGCGATTTCACCTCGATTTTCTGTGAGAAATTGTCCACAACCATTCTGTTAACATAACAGAATTTATATGGCCTGTCTACAGCTGAGGAGGTTATCTCAAAGGTGTTCAATTGCATTACAGACTTATAAAAGTACGTAGTTCTGCCTAACTTCAAGTTTACTCTTAACTATCCTTGCTTCAACTGAAGTGCTAACGCAGACGTGTCGTGTATTTTGTTGGTTTAACAGTTGAAGCAGGAGACACGTTTGATTTTGAGAGCCTCAGATTGGACTGGATGCGTCTCCAGGTAATACGTCCTGTAGTGACACAACTATGTTTATTAGAAGTTGACCGTGGCAAAAAAGGACAAGGTTAACGACAGAGAATGGTGTACTTGCAAAACTGTGGCCATATTTACCTACATATAGGCAGGCGAACAATGCATCTCAGAAAAGTAAAAGCACTCCTAGAGTCAAACCTCGTGTGAACTCATTGTCATTTTTTGTGGCTGAAACCCCAGTGTATGTCCATTCAATTGAAAGCTAGTGAGCAGTACTTTCATGTGGTACTGATTATTATGCTGCACAAGATGGTTGTATCTCTTAAATCTGCTGATGAAACCCTTGTATGTGGCTATTCCAGTTTTCATCCAGACACAAAAAACTGTTCTGTTTGTGTGGCGTTTAACACGTCATATTTTCCATATTTGCGCATAATACGTCTGAAACGTATGTACAAGTGTTATGCATCTTCATTTCCGTTGCAGGCTTATACCAGTGTCCGTGGAGCAGCACCAGAGTTAAAAGATAACAAGGACTTAGCAGTGCTGATGAACAATGTGGCATTCCATTCCAAACTTGTCGATGCACCAGAAAAGCTTTTGAACGAGATTTCTGACCTCTCAATTTTCTGGTTAGTCATTTAAAATTGTTTTTCATAAATTATTTGATTACTCTTTTTATCGTTATTGTATATACTATTTTAGCTTTATGACAATTGTATTGTAAATTTCTGTTTCTCTTGTTTAGATTTAGTAGTAGTAGGTCCACATCAGCTGTACAGTTGCTTATTTTAAACCTACTTATCAAATAAACGTATGTATGTATGTATGTATGTATGTATNTTGCCCAGAAGAGGTACAGTTTAGTTTGCGTAACTATTTCAATAACAGGCATGCCAGGTGTACTCATGGGGGCAGGAGAAGGGAAGATATGGCGTAATGCGTCCAAGCATGCCTCTCACACAATCTATCATTACTTTGCCAGCAGTAAAAACTGAACAAAGACCCTTTGATAAAGGGCTGCTAATTTAAAATTCTTTTGAATTATCAACCAGGATAGTAAGACTAATTTTAAGACTTACAAAATAATTTATATTTGGCAGCCATTTGTGAAAAGGGTCTGACTACAAGCGCAGAAAAGTCAATCATTCTGTAAATTGCTTTTAATGAATATCTGGCCGATGTAAATCAGCGGGTATCAACTCATCTTCGCCAACCGTAACTTGTCCTTATAAATTGATGAGTGCTATATTTTTAGTCACTGGTATTGAAAGCAGTTTAGAGTACGTCTGGACGTCGAGGAGTAACCTTTGTTAAGGATGTTTTCTTTTTGATTTGTTGACTCATGACAGCGCCATCCTATTGGAGACCGCAGTTTGTCTGCTGTGAATCTGTTCCTTGATTCTATGGCAAAGGAAGCCAGGAACATCTTGAGTCAGATGTGTCCGGATTATATTCAACTCAACCAGCAGGTTAGTAATCAACATTTAATTCTCCATTGTAGCGTTCACGGGAATACTTATACACACATGTATGTCAGGTAGTGAAACAAGCGGCCGGTTTAGTTAGTATTTACTGAAAGACTCTGAGAAGTTGCAATTCTTAATGTACTATCAAACGTGGCGAGAGGCACGGTGGTTCAATGGTTAGCGTGCTGGTCTCCGTATCGAGCGTTCTTAAAATAGTTGCCCCAGTAGGACGAAACGAAGTTACTTCATAGAGAATAAGTTAGTTTCAAGTAATTTATCAAACACGAAAGACCATGTTTGACCAGATTTCCAAACAACGAGAAGAGGGTTGAAAATACGACGCGCAGCGGAGTATTTTTGACAAACTTTGAGGTGTTTGGAAATCTGGTCAAACATTGTCTTGAGTGTTTGATATATCTTCTCAATCGAAACCAAAACTAAGGAGAAAACGAAAAATAAAATCGTAAAAATCTACGCTAATTAAGATCAGATATCCAAACACTGTCATGGTCGTGATTTCCCTTGTTTAAACTTGATGAATTATTAATGAGTTTGAGAAGAGTTGTTCTCATATTATGAAGAGCAAGCGTAGCCTACAAGTGACTCTCATTTGCATTTTCACAAACATTTGTTCAAAATGGTCGGACTTGTAGCGTGGCCAAAGTGGAGCAGGCAATTTCCGGCACCTATTGTGTACCTATGCCGTGATTGTCTCAAGTTAGAATAAGATACTCTGCGTAGCAAAAGTTCCTTGACGAGCGAAGAGCTCCTCGCCTGTTGGTCGCGCGAAAATTAAGGCGAGAGCCAAAACTGGACAGAGAGGAGGGTGGCCAGACTTTCGTTCGAACGGGATCAATCGCTACGCAGGCTAGAATAAGACTGTTCAAAGTATTAATCCTCTTTACCTATTGCCTTACATTTCTTGATTTTCTATATTTTCATCACCTGTCCTTTTGGCAATGTTTTAAAACTGGAAGTAGAAATTTTTCATTGCTGATTTTGTTGTCATTATTCTTGTTGAAGCTATGGCAGGTGCAAGCAGTTCGTCTGATGACAGAATTTTCTGCTGACCGAAAAAAGGACAAGAATAAGAAAAATGTGCAGAGTGAGTTTGTTCCACCCGGCAGTGAGAGCTTCAGAAAGACCAGAGAATCCTTGACAACGTGAGTTCCTTCCTTTGCAACTGTTTGGTTGGTTTTCCTTAAGCTTGGTTCTCGAAAGAAAACGTGAAAGCTCAGAAGACCGGGTTGTTCAAAGCCCGATTCAGCTAATGCCGAATTAGCGAGAATTTTGATATGAGTTTTGTAACTTTCCGGTGAGGTTTTCTGTTTATGTTGTCTGTCCTTCAGTTTTGAATTTGAATTTGAATAATCTCAAAGTACACCGTGAAAACATGAGCAGTAAAAGACATTTTCTTACAAGAAAAATAAATACTTCGGGTAACTTTTAATGTTTATTTTGTGCCAGTAGCGTTTTTTGCTTGTGTCGATTGTAAAAACTAGTTAACTGAAGGGGTCCTATGACGGAGAATTTGCTGTATTTTGACTCAAAACTGTGTCAAAATTGTGGCTAGTCCTTTCCTTACAGGGAAAATCACTCGGTGCCCAAAACACCAGCATGAAGGTATTGAGAAAATTGTTGAAAGGATCTCTAGAAAGTTGGAATTGGATTTTCGTTTTTTCCTAGATACAAGGGAAGAATTTGACATAGCTATCACGAGACTTTTTCAAGTTTAGATCAAAACCTCGCACATACCAACTCTCGGCAACACGCCTGTTGACAATATTATCAGTGTGCAAGTCTGGACTGTAGCGTTTAGTTTTTTTAGTTTTTTATTGATCTAAAATGTCTGTTGCATTCCTAGGTTGGATCGAAAGCTAATTGCTTTGACGGAAGTCTGCCGCGGGATCACCTACACAGAGGCCATTCCGGTGTGGGAACACATCTTTGCTCCTCGGGAATATCTCAGCTCTCAGCTGGAGGAGTTCTTCACAAAGTAAGCCTAAGATTAAAATATTTTGATCTTCCCTCATAACGACATAAGACATAAAACAACACAGCTATTGGTATTGAATATATTCCTTCGGATTTTTTGTTCAACACGATTACTGCCAATAAGCAAAGAAATTTAAGCTTTACTCGACAACTTGAGACCTCAGGATTCACATTTGTTACATTGCAACCATTTTCATGCCTCCATTGTTAATGCAGTAACTGGCCCTAAGGGAAACAGTAAGTTTTGTTTCCCCGAGATCGGCGCTTTCAAGGTGCACGACCTGATCACGTGCAAGTCGAAAGTTCAAGTTGTTGGTTCCCTTGGGAGTTAGTGAGTTTTTTCGCCTTACTGAGTTAGTGAGTTTTGACCCATGACACCTGACACGTTCTCCTCCAATCGGAAAACGCATTTGAGTTGGGAGGTTTAGCAACGTCTGTTATTCTCACGTCCTCCGGATTCTTGTGGTTTGTCCAGGCTGTTCTGTCTTAGGGAGCCTTTACGAAATTCGACAATAACTTAGAAATTACCATTGGCAGGTCTGTGGTTACCATGGCCCAGTTTGATCAGGATAACCTGAGGATTGCTCGCCCCTCTGAAGTCCTTGGAAATATCAAGGTATAGTCAAGTAAATCTGTGTTTATTCACTGTTTAGAAAGATTTACAACGAAAAGACGTAACACTGAAACAAAACAACCACTCTGGCCAGTCACAAATAAGAAATTACGCAGATAATCCAGTCTACCAATCAAAACTCGAAGCGAATACATGAAGCCGGCGTGAAGCGCGGGAAAACGTGTGCGAGCGCGTCATGACTTGTTCTTTTCTTACTTCTGATTGGTTTAGGAAGTGGCGCGAGTTTTTATTTTTGTATACCAACCACTAAGTGCACTAATGCAAACCCAGTGCAAATGTGAATTTCTGTCGATCATTTACAGTGCTGTTTGGTTTTATCAAAGAATTAATATCTCTGTATACGTTTATTTCGTTTTACTCTTTGAGTTGAACAACAGCTATCAAAACTCAAACAACCGACAGTTTAATAGTGATGATTTCTAAATCCTGTTTCCACAGGCAATGATGGCTACGTTGCGGAGTCTGGAAAACTACAGTAAGTTCCTTCCCTGATAGGTTATTCATAATTATTAGCGTGTTCCGTTGGAAATCACGAATCTGATTTATTCTTCTTGTCCATTGGATGAAAGAACCTTTTCGTTTTGATAAGTCTTGGGAGTGGAGGATGAAAATCTCACCATTTGCTTTGTTTTCCTAACAGCTGGTGTGGACATGGCTCGTTTGTTCAATCACGTGCTGCTACAGCAAACACAGCCTGAGGACAGCCAGGGAGCTATCACCATCACCAACATGTACACAATATGNTTTTTTTTTTTTTTGTATACCAACCACTAAGCGCGGTAATGCAAACCCAATGCAACTGTAAATTTCTTTCGATCGTCCACAGTGCTATTTGGTTTTATCTAAGAATTAATATCTTTGTATACGTTAATTTTCGTTTTACTCTTTGAGGTGAACAACTGCTATCGTAGACTCAAACAACCGACATTTTAACAGTGATGATTTCTAAATCCTGTTTCCTTAGGCAATGATGGCTACGTTGCGGAGTCTGGAAAACTATAGTAAGTTCCTCTCCCTTTATAAAGGTTATTTTATAATTCTTAGCGTATTCCGTTGGTAATCACAAATCTGATTGGTTCTTATATTTTTAGTCCATTGGGTGAAAGAATTGAGCTCATAAATCGATTCTTTTTTCATAAGTTGTGGGCGTTAGGGTGAAAATCTCACCATTTTCTTTGTTTTCCTAACAGCTGGTGTGGACATGGCTCGTTTGTTCAATCACGTGCTGCTACAGCAAACACAGCCTGAGGACAGCCAGGGAGCTATCACCATCACCAACATGTACACAACATGGTCAGTCCAGCTTCTGTCACGCTAGGTCACGCTACTCGAGGTCACGTTATTTAGTTAGATCCTATCACACTAGTTATCACCATCACTAACATGTACACAACATGGTCAGTCCAGCTTCTGTCCCGCTAGGTCACGCCACTCCAGGTCACGTTATTTAGTTAGATCCTATCACACTAGTTATCACCGTCACCAACATGTACACAACATGGTCAGTCCAACTTCTGTCACGCTAGGTCACGCCACTCTAGGTCACGTTATTTAGTTAGATCCTATCACACTAGTTATCACCATCACCAACATGTACACTACCTGGTCAGTCCAACTTCTGTCACACTAGGTCACGCCACTTAAGATCACTCCACTCTAGGTCACACCACTCTAGGTCACGTCATTTAGTTAGGTCCTATCACACTTTGTCACATGCTTTGTAGATCCTGCCACACTAGGTCTTGTTATTAGATCTTGTCAGGCCAGGTTACCGTACTATTTTAGGCTACTCTCGTGCTGTCCAATAAAGTATTACAAATGTTTTAGCTGACCAGGCCTTTCAATTAACATTGAACAGGATCGAGGCCCGGGGGTTGAGGTGGGGAAAACTTTTTGGCGTCCACCGGCTCAGGAACTTAGTTTAGTAGTAGAAAACTGAAGTGCCAATTCTAGGCGTGTTGTTCATTTGTTTAGTGTAGTATCAATGGCATTTGAGCGCCTTTCATGTTGACGGTTTAAGCCTTTTGTTTTTAACACAAAGAAAACAGGAGTTTTATTCAAGATTTTTGTTATTAGGTACCTTGATGTGTTCTTGCGGCGCGTAATGACGGACAACATTGTATTCTCTCCTCGCCGTCGTGCTTTTGTCAACAAACCTGGTCAGGCATTTAGAGCAGAGGAGTATACAGATGTTAAAGGTCAGTGGACTTATCTCATGCGTGGTGGCTGAACTGGACATTTACTGAGTTTACATGAAGTAACAACCGCGTAACTGAATTTGTTTCTTCAAATCTTCTTTCTCGCCATGTAAACTGGTTACAGGTCACTCCTGAGTCCTTTGCCCGAGAGGAATCTAAACAATGTTATGTTTAGTTGGTTTCGCGCAATACTGTCAGGGTTTCCACTTGTCTAAGTGTCAAGGAAAAACATTTTTTTCATAGGGGAAAGTGAGGGAAATTCAGTACCTGGTCAGGAAATTCTAATTTCTTGTCAAAAAGTGAGGAAAATAGGGGAAAGTTATTGAAAGGTTAACTGCAGGCTCTGATGATGAGTTGCTGTTAACGACCGTCTCACTATGTTAACTAAAGATAATTTTCTAGTCTGTAAAATGTCGGCTGTTTTTGGTTTTCTTCATAGTTAGCAACCCTGGGTCTGTTTTCGTTTACTTTCAGAACTACAAGCACTCGCTGAACTGCTTGGAGCTTATGGGATGAAATATTTGGGACAAAAGATGATGCAGCAAATTGCGAGCCAAGTTGGCGAGATTAAGGTTTTTAAACATCTTTTTCTGCCCATTTTAGAAGTTAAAATACATGTAGATGACGTTTTCGAGAATGAAGAAGTTGTTTCCGTTCACATTGGCTCCATCACCAAAAATGCTGAGGACTCGGTGAGCAATGTGGCATGACTCTTTTTTAACGCGAGACCCCCGTAATGTATCCCACGAGGACGCCTTGTTTTTGCGTGCAAGATCCCCGCGTTATACCCCGGAGGACACCAAGTTTTTTATCGGAAGTACCCCACGTTAGGCTCTATCCCAAGGGAAGCAAACGCCGAACACGAGGCATATTTTAATGTATTTCTCACTAATGATTTTGTCTTGTTCCCTGTGTTCAGAAACTCGTTGTTCAAAACAAAGATGTGTTGACCAGCTTACGGACAAGTTTTGACAAGCCAGAACAATGCATGGAGCTCATCAGAAGGCTGAAAAGTACGGCAAATAATTGAACCATGAATGTAACGCAACTCTGTTGCTGGAATAGAGCGGTTTTTAAATCGAGATCGTTAAACTAAAAGTTGTCACTGTGGCCAATCACAAAGGATACAGACAATCCAGAGAACCAATCAAAACTCTGTTGACAAATACATGTAGCAGACGCGAAGCGCGGGAAAACGTGTGTAAGCGCGTCACGATTGGTGTTAGTCTTACTTCTGATTGGATGACAAAGTGGCGCGAGTTTTCTTAGGCCAATCACTTTTTAGCGTAGTGATGCAAAACCATAAGAATATGCGAAACTGCTCAAAGCTGCAACACCATGATTGCTATGATTTTAAATTATTGCTGTGTGGTCCAACAGTAAACTCTACAAAATAATGATCTGAGAAAAAAGGTTAACTGACATTAATTTCCTGAGCGAAACATTGACCGAGGGAGAGTGTAGTAGAACTTGACGGTAACAAGCTTTCATCAGGCATGTTCCGTGATGTCATCATATTAATTTGATTTTTCCTTTGGTTTAGGTATTGAAGACCTTGTGGCTAGAGTTGTAATTGTTGGCGTTATTTTAACGTTCCGTTCGCTGACTCAAGAAGCCCTGGAAATGGTATGTTGACTGTTGCTGGAGAACCACGGAAATCTTGTTCTACCGACTTTCTCACATCACGGGCAGTTCTTATTTTCCCTGATTTCCTCGAGCGGGAAACAAAAATAAGCGAGAAAGCACAAAATGACCCCGCGAAAAAATCGAACAGATGGACAAACAAAGTCATAGAGAATGACCTGCCCTTTTTCCTCACTGTTTTTTTATTATTATTATTTAATTTTTCTTTTTCTTCTCATTCGCTTCTCGCAGTCTACTTGTTTACGAGAAACTTTTTTGAGGCCCCGTGCAAATTACGCCGGAGAAATTTGAAGACGGCGTGTTCACTCTGAAAACGCATCAAATGTTTTCCGTTCACGCTTCGCCGGAGACAATCAGCGGCCATTTTGGATTTGTGTTGTGATTTGTGAGGAAAACTCGGGCAGGGAAATCACAGGATTATCGTGACGTTATAACTTTCGTATAACTCCGATTTCAAAATGTTTTCCCTCCACACTAAAACGCACAGCCGGTTTTTAAATTCCTCCGGTTTGAAGAGAGTTTTCGTAGTCCGTTTTCGTGACGGATTAGTGTGGACGACAGCCTAACCGTAGAAATAAAGCTGCATTTCCAAATTTCCTCAGCGAAGTGAGGAAGGAACCTCAGATTATTGGCTTGTCTATTCTGGTACTAAATAGTAACTGTTTGTAGGGCGCTCTATTTCTTGTTGTTACTAAAGATTGTTCGTTTTACATAGGTTCTAAAGAAGAGGGTGCCATTTCTCATGAACTCCATTGTGGACTTTAAAGAGCATTTCCCTCACGGCAACAACGACCGACCGGTTAGTGAAACTGATCACCATGTGCTCACTAGTGATCACTCACTTCATTTAAAATTACAAAATCAAGATATTTTGAAGTAATGCACGGCCTGGTTTACGTGATTGATCGAAACAAACAACCAAAGGAGACGACATTCCGAGAGCATTTCGTCCTTGACAGAAGCCTGTACGCTGTGGATTCCATTTTAAGAGAGCTGGAGACATCGCTTCTGGTTCCGTATTTCTGTCGACTTACAATTAACACACTTTTCGCCAATTTTGTTCATTGTGTTCCCAAAATAACCCTTAACCCCTTTTTTCAAAGTGACCTATCAAACGCCCATGTAATATCTAATTCTCTAACTGTTTTTCCAACATCTGAAGTGTTAAATTTGAGATGGAGGATAAGCACAGTAACACCGAAATCGTTAATTTGTTGTAGGATGTTATATGCTGGATTATGTCGCTAGCAGGTATTCATTCTTGTTATATCTTGTTCCAGCTTGTTGAAGAAATGGCCACATCAGCTGGCTTGCAGTGCGAGGTAGACCCAGTCCTCTGCCAAGCTCTCCGTGCCCATAAAGGTGCGTGCGAGCACGATAGTGTCAACAGCTCTACTTGAGTAGCAGTATTGTAAAATTCACAAATAGATTCTATGTTACCGTGCGTCCGTTTAGTTATGGATCACAGATACCGTCCAGACGACGATCGAATAGTATCCCATGATGCAATTTTCTACGTACGTGACGCAACATCGAAGTTATCATGGATTTCAGCGTGGAATAACGTGGTTTTCTCCGCGGTCTATTTCTTATTTTTATTGCAGTAAAAGGTTAGAAAAGTGCATTATTAAAACGTATGTACAAGTGTTATGCATCTTCATTTCCGTTGCAGGCTTATACCAGTGTCCGTGGAGCAGCACCAGAGTTAAAAGATAACAAGGACTTAGCAGTGCTGATGAACAATGTGGCATTCCACTCTAAACTTGTCGATGCACCAGAAAAGCTTTTGAACGAGATCTCTGACCTCTCAATTTTCTGGTTAGTCACTTAAAATTGTTACTGACGAATTTCAACACTTGCAAACCTCCAACTCTCGCGCTCAATATAGTTATCAGCACTGTAATTTCCGTAACTGATTGCGAAATTCTGACTCTGTGAATTTTGTTGTGCATATCTAACCCTCGATCAGATGTTGTTGTTGTTATTGTTGTTGTTGTTGTTGTTGTTTTTCATGGCGGTGGACTAGAGGGGAAAAGGAACTTCCACTCTCTTTTGCATATTCAGCCACGTGACGCGTCGAGACCAATCGCGCTCGAGCGAAAATATCTGATGGATTATAAATTAATAAGCTGGAAGGAGCATTTGCTCTCCATTACAAGTGGCAGGTCTGGGGTAGGGTTTAAGGGAACCTAGTCCCATCTCTTTTCGCAAAAACCTCAGGTTCTGAACTTAGGTAACTAGACTTCTCAGTCAGGTGCCTTAACAGAAACACATTTAACGATACAACAGGTCGGAGATATGAATACGTGATATTAAAAAATTATTATTTGTTTAAATTTATTTGTTTGTTTGTTTGTTTGTTTGTTTGTTTATTTGTTTGTTTGTTTGTTTGTTAATAAACAATTATTGGATGAGGTTTTTGTGATATCCGTAATAATCAAGGTCGAGGTAAGTGCTATCAACCGAAACCGAAGGTTGAGTTGGATAACACTAACCGAGACCTTGATTATTTCGGATATCACAAAAACCGAATCTAATAATTTTTTTATTGTACATTGTTTTAAAGACAATAACGACAAACGCATTATCACACCGAACAGTTTATTTTTGACAAGCCATGTTCTTACTTCGCTGTCCGTGAACTTTACATTGCTCTTGGAAATCATGCATTGCGTACGCAACCTACAGATTATTCACTTATCTGCTAGCAGATTAGTGAATAATCTGTAGGTTGCGCTGTTTCCCAGAATTAACTGTAGGCTTTTAGCCAATGAGNTGTATGTATGTATGTATGTATGTATGTATGTATGTATGTATGTATGTATGTATGTATGTATGTATGTATGTATGTATGTATGTATGTATGTATGTGGTGGACTAGAGGGAAAAAGGAACTTCCACTCTCTTTTGCATATTCAGCCACGTGACGCGTCGAGACCAATCGCGCTCGAGCGAAAATATCTGATGGATTATATATTAATAAGCTGGAAGGAGCATTTGCTCTCTATTACAAGTGGCAGGTCCGGGGTAGGGTTTAAGAGAACCCTAATCCCGTCTCTTTTCGCAAAAACCTCAGGCTCTGAACTTAGGTAACTAGACTTTTCAGTCAGGTGCCTTAACAGAAAGACATTTAACGGTACAACAGGTCGGAGATATGAATACGTGATATTAAAGAATTATTATTTGTTTAAATTTATTTGTTTCTTTGTTTGTTAATAAACAATTATTGGATGAGGTTTTTGTGGTATCCGCAATAATCAAGGTCGAGGTAAGTGTTATCAACCGAAACCGAAGATTGAGTTTGATAACACTAACTGAGACCTTGATTATTTCGGATATCACAAAAACCGAATCTAATAATTGTTTTATTGTACATTGTTTTAAAGACAATAACGACAAACGCATTTTCACACCGAACACAGTTTATTTTTGACAAGCCATGTTCTTACTTCGCTGTCCGTGAACTTGACATTGCTCTTGGAAATCATGCATTGCGTACGCAACCTACAGATTATTCACTAATCTGCTAGCAGATTAGTGAATAATCTGTAGGTTGCGCTGTTTCCCAGAATTAACTGTAGGCTTTTAGCCAATGAGAAGACGGATGGTGACTACAATGTATAATAACAAAGGTGATGCTTTCTTGTAGTTTTTATCCCAGCTTTTTTGAGGAGTCATTTTTGAAGTGTGTGGAGGATCCAAACTATTCAAGGTGAGGTTGCTTAGGTTTTCAAGAAATTTATGTCGTTGGTGCACGGAACAGTATTAGCTCCGAGGGCACAGAGATCTGCCAAATCCCATTTGTCTTTATAATTATAAACACGTAGACTGACTCACAGATTCATAAAATAGTTTCTTTACTGAGCAGACAGGCTCTTGTCAGACTGGTCCTAAAGTGTGATGGGCGATTCAAAATTCACACGCGCTTTCGGGTGTGAAGATCTAATCACTTGATCGCTGAAATGGTTTTGGCGAGGTGATACGATGTAATAAAGAAACCTAAGTCGCGTAAAGGGCTTAATTTCTTTCAATACGTCAGGCACTCGATAGACAGGTTATAGCTCGGTTATAGTACTGTTGCAGCAACGTTTTCCATTCAGGATTTCTGCAACTGGGTATCTACAATGTGTCGGCGTTAAAAACTGGGGGGTCTATGCGACGGACGAACATCCTGTCCAGGGGTAGCAATACTCATATCCAGTTCATTCTCTGGAAAACGAGATAAGCTATGGTGGCTTGGGCCACTTTAGCCTGACTGCAGATTTTGCTTTCGTGTTAGAACAACACAAGTTCCAAACACCTGGTAACTAACTGTTTGTCTATGCTGTTTTATTGGCAGATACTCCATTGCGTTTCCACTGATTTGTGGTCACTTCATGTCGTGTACCAGCGAGTTTTGCCCAGAAGAGGTACAGTTTAGTTTGCGTAACTATTTCAATAACAGGCATGCCAGGTGTACTCATGGGGGCAGGAGAAGGGAAGATATGGCGTAATGCGTCCAAGCATGCCTCTCACACAATCTATCATTACTTTGCCAGCAGTAAAAACTGAACAAAGACCCTTTGATAAAGGGCTGCTAATTTAAAATTCTTTTGAATTATCAACCAGGATAGTAAGACTAATTTTAAGACTTACAAAATAATTTATATTTGGCAGCCATTTGTGAAAAGGGTCTGACTACAAGCGCAGAAAAGTCAATCATTCTGTAAATTGCTTTTAATGAATATCTGGCCGATGTAAATCAGCGGGTATCAACTCATCTTCGCCAACCGTAACTTGTCCTTATAAATTGATGAGTGCTATATTTTTAGTCACTGGTATTGAAAGCAGTTTAGAGTACGTCTGGACGTCGAGGAGTAACCTTTGTTAAGGATGTTTTCTTTTTGATTTGTTGACTCATGACAGCGCCATCCTATTGGAGACCGCAGTTTGTCTGCTGTGAATCTGTTCCTTGATTCTATGGCAAAGGAAGCCAGGAACATCTTGAGTCAGATGTGTCCGGATTATATTCAACTCAACCAGCAGGTTAGTAATCAACATTTAATTCTCCATTGTAGCGTTCACGGGAATACTTATACACACATGTATGTCAGGTAGTGAAACAAGCGGCCGGTTTAGTTAGTATTTACTGAAAGACTCTGAGAAGTTGCAATTCTTAATGTACTATCAAACGTGGCGAGAGGCACGGTGGTTCAATGGTTAGCGTGCTGGTCTCCGTATCGAGCGTTCTTAAAATAGTTGCCCCAGTAGGACGAAACGAAGTTACTTCATAGAGAATAAGTTAGTTTCAAGTAATTTATCAAACACGAAAGACCATGTTTGACCAGATTTCCAAACAACGAGAAGAGGGTTGAAAATACGACGCGCAGCGGAGTATTTTTGACAAACTTTGAGGTGTTTGGAAATCTGGTCAAACATTGTCTTGAGTGTTTGATATATCTTCTCAATCGAAACCAAAACTAAGGAGAAAACGAAAAATAAAATCGTAAAAATCTACGCTAATTAAGATCAGATATCCAAACACTGTCATGGTCGTGATTTCCCTTGTTTAAACTTGATGAATTATTAATGAGTTTGAGAAGAGTTGTTCTCATATTATGAAGAGCAAGCGTAGCCTACAAGTGACTCTCATTTGCATTTTCACAAACATTTGTTCAAAATGGTCGGACTTGTAGCGTGGCCAAAGTGGAGCAGGCAATTTCCGGCACCTATTGTGTACCTATGCCGTGATTGTCTCAAGTTAGAATAAGATACTCTGCGTAGCAAAAGTTCCTTGACGAGCGAAGAGCTCCTCGCCTGTTGGTCGCGCGAAAATTAAGGCGAGAGCCAAAACTGGACAGAGAGGAGGGTGGCCAGACTTTCGTTCGAACGGGATCAATCGCTACGCAGGCTAGAATAAGACTGTTCAAAGTATTAATCCTCTTTACCTATTGCCTTACATTTCTTGATTTTCTATATTTTCATCACCTGTCCTTTTGGCAATGTTTTAAAACTGGAAGTAGAAATTTTTCATTGCTGATTTTGTTGTCATTATTCTTGTTGAAGCTATGGCAGGTGCAAGCAGTTCGTCTGATGACAGAATTTTCTGCTGACCGAAAAAAGGACAAGAATAAGAAAAATGTGCAGAGTGAGTTTGTTCCACCCGGCAGTGAGAGCTTCAGAAAGACCAGAGAATCCTTGACAACGTGAGTTCCTTCCTTTGCAACTGTTTGGTTGGTTTTCCTTAAGCTTGGTTCTCGAAAGAAAACGTGAAAGCTCAGAAGACCGGGTTGTTCAAAGCCCGATTCAGCTAATGCCGAATTAGCGAGAATTTTGATATGAGTTTTGTAACTTTCCGGTGAGGTTTTCTGTTTATGTTGTCTGTCCTTCAGTTTTGAATTTGAATTTGAATAATCTCAAAGTACACCGTGAAAACATGAGCAGTAAAAGACATTTTCTTACAAGAAAAATAAATACTTCGGGTAACTTTTAATGTTTATTTTGTGCCAGTAGCGTTTTTTGCTTGTGTCGATTGTAAAAACTAGTTAACTGAAGGGGTCCTATGACGGAGAATTTGCTGTATTTTGACTCAAAACTGTGTCAAAATTGTGGCTAGTCCTTTCCTTACAGGGAAAATCACTCGGTGCCCAAAACACCAGCATGAAGGTATTGAGAAAATTGTTGAAAGGATCTCTAGAAAGTTGGAATTGGATTTTCGTTTTTTCCTAGATACAAGGGAAGAATTTGACATAGCTATCACGAGACTTTTTCAAGTTTAGATCAAAACCTCGCACATACCAACTCTCGGCAACACGCCTGTTGACAATATTATCAGTGTGCAAGTCTGGACTGTAGCGTTTAGTTTTTTTAGTTTTTTATTGATCTAAAATGTCTGTTGCATTCCTAGGTTGGATCGAAAGCTAATTGCTTTGACGGAAGTNACGAAACACAAGTAAAACCTTTCACTGTAACGGCAAAATTCTCCTTTGAAACACATTGAATATAAATTAACTCGGTACTCTTAAAAGCAGAAGCCACGGAATCCAGACAAGTGTGAAAGCACGCCATAGCTTCATCCTGAGAGCGTGGAATGAATGATGACGTCACGTACGCGGGGATAATATAAGTCTAAACCAGATGCATCATGGGATACTATTCGATCGTCGTCTGGATGCCGTCAAAATGTGGCAAAATAAAGCCTGAAGAAAATTTACGAGCCTTTGAGTTTCAGGCTTTATTTTTGCAACTGCCAAAGTTGCGTGCACACCCGCCATGATCTCTCGTCTCTTTAAAATTTTGTAAGATGTCGAAGATGTCAGCTTTAAAAATAGCCGATGTGTAGTCAGGTTGCTCTCAGAGTATCTCTGTATAAAATCCTTGAAATGTATTTCTACATAATGGTTCTTTCGTCATGTCTCGCCCCAGCCATACATGTTAAAGTACGTCTGCGTATTAGGCTAATAGCATGCCAACTTCTTTTGATTGTGACTTTCTGTATTTGCTGTCGTCTTGTTACAGAAAAAAAGCCTGAAGAGGACTCTTTGATCTGGGCCTTATTCCTGGTGAGTGCTGTGGTACCTAGAGAGATAACCGAAAAATGTGTTGACTTCCCTTCTTCCGTAGTGTAAGCTTGTTTTGGCGACGAAATTATTACCGCAATTATTCTTAAAACTAACGAAAAGGAGGAAATCACGGATAATCACACTGATCGTTGCAAAGTATTTTGAGTATACCATTCACTTGAGTCTTCCTCAGCTATAGAATGTGGAAAACTTTGGCACTAGTAAGAAAACGAATTCACTTCACTTTTCTCACCTTAAGGTTGTGCATTATTTTCTTGGTGCATTTTTTTTTTAATTATTTTAACATTTTTACAGCATTTTTTGGTAATTGCCCACCCCCCTCAAAAAAATAAATGGTCTGTCCCTCAGCGTAATAAACATGTGTGTAGTCCCTGGCGTTCTCATTGAAACACACTGATCTTCCTTCCACGTGCAGTAAGCTTACATGTGATTGAGGTTTGTCATGCTTATAATTGCCCACCCCCTCCCCCCTCAAAAAAATAATGGTCTGTCCCTCAGCGTAACAAACGTGTGTAGTTACTGGCGTTCTTATTGAAGCACACTGAACTTCATTCCACGTGCAGTAAGCTTACATGTGATTGAGGTTTGTGATGCTTATTATTTCAGGTGTTTGTCGCTGTGGCTCTTCCTTCGTTGGCTTACAGAGACGCCTCTGAATACAATGCCGACTTAGAAGGTTTGTCGGCCGATGTCATTTTTACTAGGGTTTTTTGAATATAGCAGTTTATGTTTGCTTTCGTTTTTGAAGTTAATGACATGGAGAGTTATCGCAGAATGGGAATTAATTCTTCTTCTCATTACTTCTCTCGTCATAACAGTTTTTTTCCTTCAATTTTTAGTATTTTCAGGCTCGATACTATTTGTGAATCTTAAGAATCGAGGCTCATTGTTCCATGATCACCTTTCTTCTAAATTTTCCTCATTCGCATCCATTCTTGTTCCTTTTTTGTCTTCATCTATCATCATTTCTACGTCAGTAAAGTAATAATTTTGTAGCTCCCAGAAATAAAATGGCTTTAAACTAAAATGGCATAATATCACTCGTGTTGTATTTTCAGCGCATGAAAACAACGCCCACTGTATGGCAGCGTCCATCAACCGCTTAGCAGGCGCTCTGTGTTTCAACAATGGAGACAACGCTGAGGAAAGACTCCGAGAATTTTTGGCGGTAGGTTAATTGTTTTCTACTACTTCAAGATACACTACAAACCCTTCCCGTACCCGATGGAGCTAACTTAGAACAAAGCCGAGTCAGTGACGTATTCCTGGAGAGCAGACGGCGAGGGACTGGCACCAAACTTAACTGGAGCCAAGCAAGCTGCCTCAGAATTCTCGTCCCCAGCGCCCCCTGTCCCTCGTTCCAGGGCCTCGCCGGCAAGAGGGACAGGCGGCTCTGGGGACTAGAATGGAACGCTTTCTGCCAGAAGCAATATTTTTAAAACTGTATGTGGTGTAAAACTACTGAAATATATAGATACGTGGATATATAGATATTGCCCTGACCAACAAATAAAAGCTAACCGCAAGCAAACCGGAGTGAAGCGGGCGGAGTTCTTATACAGGCTAACCGAACTGTTGTTCAATATGCAGCGTATACCAAATGCATATTATAAACATCTCTAAGACGTCATTTTTTTTTTCTTTTTTAGTATTTTGTTTATCGTCTAGTTCAGTACATATCCCTTGGTAAACACTAACACTGTGTAACCAATCTCTTTAGATCGCGTCTTCTAGTTTGTTAAAGCTGGGAATCGAAGTAGAGAAGGATTTGAAGGCTCGTGAATCCACGTACCTTCTCTTAGATATGGTGAGTGATTATGCTTCGTGTCTCTCACAAGGGTGTCATCTAGTCAGCGGAGACCTCTTTGCTCATACGTCGGGTCAGATTATATCTGGAGGTGTTGTTGGTAGAGAGGCGTGGTGGCCTCGTGGTTAGTGCGGTGGAATCAGGATCGAAGTGTCCAGGTTCGAGCCCTGGCCAGGGTCATTGCGTTGTGTTCTTGGATGAGGTTTTAATTAAAGACTGGCAAAAGTACACGACAGTCAATGCAATATATTGCAACATTGTTTTGCCCAGCATGTTGCAAACGTTTTGCCGCATGGTTACATCACTCAGTATCTTGCAACAGGATAGTCCAACGTGTGCAACATGTTTTGCGCAACACTGTTGCAATATGTTGCGTTGACTGTTGCGTTGAAATGTTGCATGCGTTTGTTTGTTTTTGAAATAACGAGTCAACCATTTGAGAGAATAATGTTAGGAAGAGATTTGCACATTTGCCTTTGTCAGTTATATTGTTGGTTAATGTATAGTACTGCAATTAAAGAAAAACAAAGACAAATTGAAAGCGTCAATAATCCTTGACTTTTAAGTCTTTTATTTCGCTATCTTGGTGCACAGATCGTTAACGATTCTCCATACCTAACAATGGACGTGTTGGAGTCATGTTTTCCATACGCCCTACTGAGGAATGCCTACCACGAGGTGTACAAGGTGAGTTGAGCCTTAGCTTAGAAATATTTGCTGGAAGGGTTAAGGTTCGAGCTAATATGCTTTTTATCTGATCACTTCAAAAGAATATTTTGTTGACAGTTTTAAGGGAATTCTTGGAAATAAAATTCGGGTTTTGTAATGCGATTTCTCGCAAATAAAGAAGAATTTCCGGCTTGAAATATACTTATCTGCCTGTGTCTGCTTGTATCCCTGCCTGCCTGCCTACCTGCCCGCCTGCCCGCCTGCCCGCCTGCCCGCCTGCCCGCTTACCTGTCTGTCTGCCCGTCTGCCTGCCTGCCTGTTTGTCTGTCTGCTTATCTGTCTTCCTATCTGTCTGTCGATGTAATAAAATCCCCTAGGGCCCAGTGTGTTCAAAATGACTTTGCGTTTGGTGTGGACGGTTGGATTATTTGTAGTGGGGTGGGGAATGGGCAAATTCCCTAAGAAATATCAAGCAGGTGCTTCAGACTATTAAAGGGGTACGGAGTAAATTAATTGCCTTTGGAAAGATATCAGGAAAACATGAAAACAACTTCCTGTAAAGCTGCAAGAGGATGAGAAAAATGTCGAGAAGCTGAACAAAATGATAGGTGTGGTTTTTTTGTAATGTAATCTTTACTGCTGTTCTTTTCTAGAGAAAGCTTGAAGTCTGGTTGTAACTACACAAGTAAAGACGCTGAGATGTACACACGAAGCGCAAGGCGAAAACTTCAACTAAAAGAAGACAAGTTTCTCGTGGACACCCTTATGATTAATTCTCTGGCTTTCGTTTCACTCGGCACTGTTTTAGTCTTTTCTTTAGTAATGTGACCAGTATGTAAAATCTCTGCAAAATCGCTTTGAGTGCCCGGTCAAATTCTCCTATCTTGTGCTATCAGAGCTGTATTAACACAAGTAATGAGAATGTGTATGTTAATACCAAGGTTCAAAGGGTTTTAAATCATCAGATTCCTAAACTGGTACCGTAAAAACCCTGTGGAGGCCAGTCAGAAAAATTTGATAGTTTTTGAAACGGTCACAATGCACGCAAGTCATGAATGTCCGCATTCATGTTAATTTTTATAAAGGTGTAATGATAAAAGGTAGAGAAGATGGGGGAAGGGGGTGATTTCTGACCATGAAAACCTCGATTTTAAATTGAAGCTGGAACTGAAGACAGCGTCAGACATAGTGAAGGGTACAACGAGGTGTTAAATGATTTTAAGTATTTGCACAACTGTGAAGTTCTGTAGAGGGATATTTTCGGATTATGAGATTCAGATAAACAAGACAGATCGCACCCGATATAGCCTAACAACATCATCCTTGCATCGTAATTGCTACTATATGTATCTGTTAGTTGTGCTCCTCAACTTTTAATAAACCGGAAAGCAAGGAGCGTTTTTCAGAGTCGATGCCTCTGTTGTATTAATAACCATATTAAACGAAAGATTCAGTAAGGTTTGCGCGAACGGAACAGAAAGTAGGTTACTAGACATGGGAAAATGCGTGTGTGTTGTGACGTTACAACATGGCGGCTGAAATTCCTTTATTTGGAAGTTAAAGATGATCAAAATGGGGGCGGTTCAACCTGCTGGGAATAATTATCTTTTTTCAGGCTTTTTTCTCAGCAGTTATGTAAAACATGATTTCTAAAGGTTTCCATTCTCCCTTGAGAGTTTTCCTCGGTAAAAAAAATCACCGAAGGTATTCAAGAAAGTGAAAATATAAAAAAAGGATGAAATAAAAATAAACAAGAATGGTTGAGACTGGTGAGGATTGACAGGGATCTTGAAAAGTTTTCAAGATTCGTCATACGTGAAGAAACTTCTCGACCTCTCAAGAGACTAAATCATAATCTAGAACCCAGATCTCCCACAGGCAAGCGTCAAACAGAGTAAAGTCTGGGTACGAAATTAACAAAATCATAAACTGAGACAGAGACAAGTATCGTTAAACGCGGCATGGTTTCACCAGTTGTTTTCGCTTGTGGTCTGCGCCGGGATGTGAACACTTTATAGCCTCCTGCTGTCGTACCATCTGAACGTGAGACTATATAGACTGTGTCAGAAGCAATTTCTCGTCTTAGTCCACAAGCAAGACAAAGATCTTGCAGTCTTCATCAGACAACGATGCATACGAAAAAAGTAAACAAGCCAAACAATCTACTATGACCGCAATCAGCGGTGTTGTCAGTCAAACGTAGTCTTGTTTTGCCAGTGTTGTTTATGATTTTGATTTTCTAAACCAGAGGGCTGGAGCGGAACAACTTGGTTGGGGAGTCAGCAGGGAAAATAGTGAGTTCATTTGTTCCGGGGCTCTGTGGTCAAGGGCTTTTGACACGCGTAACAGAAAAGACTTCATCACACAAAAATGTGAACATCAGCCAAGACACTATTACATCATTGATATCACTTCCGATTGACGTCAGGAGGCGTAATCACCATGCGTGACTGACATAGAAACAAACAAACGATAACGAGATTTTAAGCGAACTCGATTTGAGAACTTGCAGTTTTATAAAATTATATTTGAAAATACTTTTTTTCTTCCTATTTTAAGCTGACAGTTCGAGAAAAGTCGAGTAAATTTGAATATCGTTTGCCATTGTATTCTTGATGTCAGTTGCTATCCAAATTGAAAATGGGATTCTAGATCTGATATTTAACGGAAAGCATTTATCAGTCACGCATCTTGTGTTCTCAAATTCGTCTAATTTTTCCTTCCTTCCATGTCGATTTTCGACGTCAATTTTTATCTATCCTCAGAACTATCTTAGCCAAACTGGAAACATTTTTTACACTAGCTTCAGCGCGGCTTACCGTCCAAGTTGAGGTTTGTTTGTTTCTGGACCATTGAAAGGCAAGTCTAGCGTTGCGGAACATGACACATTCACTGAGCGTGTTCACTTGATCACTTGGCTTAAGTGTTCAAGGAATTTAACGTTAAGATCAACTAAAATTACTCGGCCATGGAATTTCTGAATATTTGATCTGTGCCAGTCTGCCCGGGGAGTCGATCGAAAGATTCCTCTGCTTTGTCGCCCTTGTTGTATGTACATAATGTCTGTTGGCCGATTGTATGCGCGCTAAAATGCTTGGATTCTCTGGCAAGCTTGCAAGGAAATAGGTATGTGTTAGATTTGAAGCTTTCAATCAGGCATTTTTGCACTGTTTTAAATGTAGCACGCAGAGAAAAACTCTTTCGCGTTTTACGCCCACCTTTTTGTAAAAATTCGGTAACTCTAACAGGTTCAAGCTAATTTCAACGTCTACAGATAACTTAATCCTCCTCCCTTGAATAACACACGACATCACTGAACTCCAGATGTATTTATAAGTCAAGACGTTTAAGGAGCAACAGAACTGATACTAGTAAATACCAACCGGTATTTCATGGCTGGTACCTCACTCCGAGTATATAATCAAGGATATGATATCACCAGGGGCCCACTCCAGGATGTGATAACATCATGCAAATCTTGACGTGTTTTTATAACTTTGTTTCACAATTTACAACTCCAAACCATGTTGATTTATAGTTTTGAATTGTTTAGCTATACTACTGCCCTGTGGGAGATTTTTCGCAGTATATCTCGTGGGGAAAATATCACCCAAGCCGTGACCATACCACGAGTCTTTAAGTCTACAATACTCAGTAGTCTTGCTGATCGTTGATCATATTCTTAAACTTTATCTGATTGTTATAAAACAACTCTAATCTATCTATAATCCTAATGGCACGCTTTCCACATATGCTTCACAGCTTCAGTACTGTGTGTGCGTGAGATTTAAAGTACACATTTCAATTTAAGTGTATACGATTGTTCAATCGTTCAATTTGTTTATTTTCCATTTCAACTCCCTCTTAGTAATTTACCCAAACCAACGTTAACTGAAGATATAGGAGAGGGAAAATATAAGGGAAATAGAGAGAGGAGAGGGAAAATATATATATCTTTGCGGAGAATCCGTATCTGGAGCGATCAAACGCGTTAGAAGACACTCGAAATTCGCCATTCCATTTCCTGTAGTTTTCTCGCTGTGCTGGTACCTGCGTCTCGGATCAGTTACGGTTGGGTTTGCTTTACATTGAAGGTAAATTGTTCTTCACCTAAGCTATGAGTTTATTTTATTTTTAACAGCTCACACACAAGGAAGGTTGTAGATAGACAGTTTATTTTTGCAAGTCGTTCCTATGGGTGACTCGTTTTTAATAACGTCTCAGTTTTCAAACTATGGAAACAGTTCAAATAGTAAACCGGTGATGACGGAAAATTCAAATAGCATTAAAAATGTTAGTTATGGAAAATACTTTGCAATCACGGCTCTGAGCGGCACAGCGGTAAAATTGTCCGCGCATGCACCCGGCTGCTTAAAGGAGCTCAGTCACAGTATTTTGAGTTATTTTGGCCACATACAAAATTACCTTTAAATGGTAGGAAACCTGAAAATAACAGTTTAATAAGATAGAAGAACACCAAAGAGATAATGATAGACCATAAAGGAAGAAGGATGGCCAAGGATGGAGAAGATTAATTAACACGGATTACAAACGACGAATTTGAAAAATTTAGGCTAAACTTTTCAATATGCGCAAACCGTGACGTAGCTCCTTTGAGCGAGGACGTTCTCATTCTCCTCCCAGAGCCTCCCTTTCTTTCGGTCATCAACGACATTTTAAAACGAGTAACACTAGGTACGAGAGTGGGGCGTTCTATACAGCATTGGTTTGAAAGCTTGCCGTTACTTGTTCGTTACTTAAAAGTTGGAGTAGTTACTGATAACTGGTGTATTTCGAAAGACTTACCAAAATCTCTGTTAACGTGCAAAATAGACCGATTGCATGAATGTAGCCAGATTATAATAACGATGCTGTACGTAATCAAGAAAACCTTACCCTCGCACTGATAAGAGAAATCCTTTGTGAAGAGGATAAGGCTTTCTGACATAATTTTATTCAAATTCCGCACCATTTGCAACCTACTTATAACTTCTCTTGCTTCATTCTTAAGCAATGGAATTTTATTTTTGCCCTACCTTCTAGTTCTTAGGAGTGATGAACGCGTAATGTCTCCTAACAATTGGATACGTTTTCAAGCTCAAATGTAATGAGAATAACGTTTTTATTATATGAAGTGTAGGACGTATATTCCATGCTGTGTGTATCACAGACACCGCAACACTGAAGCTGCCTCGATGGGGACTGTAAATTAAATAGCGTCATTCTGCGACACAAAAGTTATTCTAACAATCCATTGAAAAGAAGCTTTAAAATGGCAGAACGGAAGAAAAACTGAACATAAGCGAAATGCGAAGAGCGGCATACCGAACTGGAATCGGTTACGAAAGGAGTGACTTTAAGCTTTCTATCTGCCGGCTCGAGAAAAAGAAAGTTAAAAAATAAACCTAAAAACAGTTGTGTGAAGGCATGGACTGTGATGCTCTGGAATTCTCTCTGTTTGTTTTGGAGCTGGTATTTCGTCATAAGATCCTGAATATTTCATTCTGATTTTTAAGAGTGGATATTGTCATTAAAGAACAAAAACTGACATAATTAAAATCTTGACCACTTTTACCCTATAACGTAAGATAGTTTTAATCTTATTCCCCCTTGTTTAGGTCTTCAAATTTTGCAACTAAGACTAACGATGGAAGTGGAGCCAATAATTCTAGTGAACTTAAAGCCAAATAAAGTCTGGTAGCAGCAACGACAAGTAGGCTTCGGAGGAGAGGCACATTATCAGCAATTTTACCTCAGCCACTCCTCCCGCTGTGAGGCCCAGTATGAGCGAGAGCGTCAAAGTCATTGTTCGCTGTCGGCCATTGAATGAAAAAGAGCGCGAAATGAAGACGCGATTTGTCATTGAAACAAACTCTTCACTGCAACAGTGCAGCATAAGGAGGCCTGGTGACGACCCAAAGCTATCAAAAACTTTTACGTTCGATGGAGTTTACGGAATTTCAAGCAGCACTGAGAAAATCTACTCAGAAATTGTTCGTCCGATTGTGAAAGGCGTTCTTGATGGATACAATGGCACGGTTTTTGTCTACGGTCAAACGTCTTGCGGAAAGACGTTTACAATGGAAGGCATTGAAAGTCCATCCGCCCAAAACGGGATCATTCCTCGATGCTGTGAGCACATTTTGAGCGCCATCCGCCAGAGGAGCTTGGATCAGCACTCGAAATACCTCCTACGCGTTTCATACCTTGAAATATACAACGAAGAAATCCGAGATCTACTTGTGAAGGATTGTAGGTACAAACCTGAAATCAAGGAACACCCAGATAAAGGCATCTACGTTAAAGGTCTTTCGAGTATTACTGTGGACAGTTACGCGGATATGCAGGAAATTTTCGACTCAGGAGGAAAGAATCGATCTGTCGGCGCGACTGCATTGAATTCAGATTCCTCTCGATCACATTCGATTTTTACTGTGGATCTTGAGGCGTGCGTTCGTTCACGCCAAGGAGAGAATGAGATATATAGAACAGGAAAACTCAACCTGGTCGATCTGGCCGGAAGTGAACGCCAAAGTAAATCTGGTTGTACCGGTGAACGATTTAAGGAATCAACCAAGATAAACTTGTCTTTGTCTGTCCTTGGAAATGTCATTTCTGCGCTAGTCGATGGCAAATCTAAGCATGTTCCGTATCGCGACTCAAAGCTCACGAGGCTACTGCAAGATTCTTTAGGAGGAAACTCCAAGACCTTAATGGTGGCTTGCATTAGCCCTGGGGAGAACAATTATGAAGAAACATTAAGCACGCTTAGGTACGCAAAGCGTGCAAAAGACATCAAGAACAAACCAAAGATCAACGAAGATCCAAAAGACACGATCATAAAACGATATCACGACGAGATCCAGCAGCTTAAGAAAATTATTGCCAAGGAGATTCCAGTTTCGAGGCAGCTAGCGACTGAGCTTAAAGGTGAGTCCTTGTCGGTCTATTTTGTCATCTTGGATCAGAGCCCAAAGAGTTCAAAGTTCAAGTATGGCTGTAAATAAAACTCAATAGGACATTTCCGAGTTGCCTTTTGCCTCTGTTCCAAAACGAGTCTTCGTGCAAAGCCATTCATAAGAAAATGTGCTTCGCCTACAGGTTTGTTTTTATGCAAATCAAACTCATCCTTACATGAAGGGTTTTGCACAAGGACTCATTTTGAAACTGAGGCACAAGGTAACTTGGAAATGGCCTATTGCTTACCATTTGACGGCAGGGACTGGTTAGGAAGACCGTTGAATAATGATAACGGTTTTTCCAAAATCAGCAAACCAACCGAATGGGTCGGATGAATCGATATTGACGTTCCGTTTCGTTGAAAACTCGCTGAAATATCTAGAGAAACAATAAAATAAACAGTTATCTTGTCAGGACACCTCCCATCCAAGTGTAATCAAAATAGGAATAAAGCCAAATCTGAAGACAGAATTCAAATGATTTAAAAGTCAGATACCAGGCACTCCTGTTTATACTCTCCTGGCCTAGGTAGTGCTCTTAACAGAAGACAAATAGACAAGGTCTCACTATTACCTGGGAATGGAATAGATCCACTAAACAATGGTTGAAACAAGTAGAAAATACGAGCAGAAATGCTGTTACGCTTGGTTACAGTTTATCTACTTAATTGTCGGGGCCTTTGGAGATATCAGTTTTACTCTGTATACAATCTATACACCGAATGAGAAACCCTGGTTAAAGAAAGCTATCTATCTATCTTCTTCATTATACTTGTTAATCGTGGAACCTATTCCTAGTGTACATTCCCAGTGTAACCTAAACGACCGTGATCTACGGCGGCACTTCAGACAACAGTTCTGTTTCACAACTCTTTGGCTTCTTTTTATAGAAATCACTGAAGAAACAAGAACCAGATCATTAAGCTATTGCCAGACCATAACACAGAGACGCGAAACGAATCAATCAAGTCATCTAAGTGTGAAGGAATATCAGTCGAGTCTTTGTGAAACACAAAGGCTTCACACGAACGCTTGTCACGAGACAACGACGTTGAAGAGAGAGCTCGATGAACTTAAAACTCAGCTTCAGATTCAGCAGAGGAGGCTTGAATACGAGGCGAGGAAAACTGTCCTTGAGGAACATAAAACCGCATTAATGCTACTAAGAGGCCGAAGAACCGCAGACGGATGCAGCGAGTCCGAAATCGGTAAAGCTTCTAGTGTAAACAAAGGTGAAATGCAATCTCGAGCGCACGATTCGCCGGACGTTGTAGCATTTAGAGAATATTCACCGGAAGTGTCGCCACCGGAAGTGTCGTCACGAGAAGCGACAAACTTGTCCGGTTACATAAATACAGAGTCAGAAAATTCGGCATTAAACTTGGACAACGTGAAAATGAGAGTGACGCCAGAAACAGAATTGACGTCAGAAACGGAAATAAATTCAACACCCGAAGTACCTGTCATGATCTCTGTCGCAACTTCAACTAACGATTTACACTTACTGGAAGCAGATGTTGAATTGGATGAGGAAGAACCGAGCGGAGAGTGGAACATTCGAGAAAACATCCTATATCGAGAAGAAGCCGAGGGACGGTCTAGAAGCGTATCACCATACACTGCAGAGAAGAAGAGCTATGCTAAGGTGGAAGCCTCCGAGAGCGAAGTCGTTTACCAGCTGGATGAAGAGGTAAGGAGAATACTCATTTAATTTTGTCTTGTGATCGATACATTGGGGGAAAGCAAAGATGACCAGTGATTGGTGGGTTTAACTTGAAATTTGACAGCAACTACAACAATAACAACAACACGATCTATTAGTACCACATGAAAGAAAAAACATTTATACGATATCTATCAGTTGACACTTACAAATTGGGTACTTGCTGCCAAAAATAACTGGATGTGAATAGACTTGTTGGGCAGGTAACATTTGGATTTAAAAAGTGCGTCGGTCTTCAGTAAGGTTAATATATCAGTAAAGTAACTGTAATTAATAGTGTTAATAATAGTACATGTATTTGGACCGAGAGGAGTACAACAGCCCCTTTCACGGTTACCTTTGTTCATTTGCATTACAGTAAAATCTAGCATGTATGTGACGCAATTTCGGGCTATTTTGTAGTTTTAGCCCGAAATTGCCTCGCATCCACGTTGGATTACATTGTAATGCAAATGAGAAAAATTAACCGTGAAAAGGGCTAATGGGGAGTAATCTGGAGAAATCGGACCAGCGGGCAGCGCGAGGCCGATTTGAATCACGAGCACGGTTTTTCCCTGAATTGTACGACACAAGGTGCAATTACTAATTAATTGTATCAATAACAAATTTCGAGATTAAGAAGTCTGTTAAGAACCTTTTTTGAGCGAAAAAGTCAGAGATGTTTTCCATAATTTGTGAAATACTTTAGGGAACATAAAAAGAAAGCCACTTTTTTGGTATGACTATACAGGTATTAAATTAATATGGTTGGGTCCTCGAATAGTTTTTTCAGCAAGGTATAATTTTACAATAAATATTAACGATAAGAAACGACGTTTCGATGTTATCTTGATTATAATTGTTAAGTAATGACGTGTCCGTCTTTTCTTTCATGACCTTTGTCGCTGGTTTTCTTTCAGGGTCCTGTTAGCATAGGATTATGCTGCCTTTGTCCCGAGATTTCTTTCTTCGGTGAAAGGTTCCAATTTTATCAGCACAGACGTCTTGAGGAGTTTTTGCGACGGAAACAAAAATTACCTTAAAGGAGCAAGTTCGTCATTTGTGATACGTTTTAACCATATCAGTTCTTTTTCCTTTTTGTTTTACTATTTCTTATTTAGGTTTTTTTTTACACTGGTAACCTTTTATTAACAGGTTTTCCCTCGATTTGAACATAACTTTGTACTTTGTACATCGCACAAAATTACTTAACAGACGGTGGCATAGCCGCTTTGAAGAATCAGACCAGGCGAAAATAATTGTCTTTTACAGCATAATTCAAAACTTTGAAAAAAATAAAACAGTTTAGCAAGATTATAGTGTTGTTTGATTCGGTTCCAGAATTGTCTTCGAAATACAAAAAAAAACTAATGCGAGATATCTTTGTAGTTTAGCTTTTGGCGCAGAATAAGTTTGTCATGTTGAATTCTTTCCCCAGAGCCACCTGACCCTCATAGCCGGGGGAGCCTTGGCACGAACCTTTTCCTAGTGCCAAGCCCATGTAGGCCAAGAGAAACAGGTGGCTCTGAGGACTATATTACTAGGAAAAATTTTCGGATGATTTCAATTTCAGACAAAAAAAATTGTCCGAAAATAAAACAGTCCGAAATTTTTAAGCATCCGAAATATTTACAGTGCAACATGAGACTTTGAAGCTCCAATGCTCTTAGTTTCCTTTATGCTGGGCTTTATGGAGCGAACTCTAGTTGAGACACTGCTGAACATGCGTTAAGGCTTGATAGAATTTTTTTGTCGTTGGTGTATTCGTAAAACCTTCAGGGTTCAGTAAAACTATCATTTCCACCGATGTCGTTTCAGTCTAATTCGAGTTTTGTAGGCGTAAATTTGCTTTAGCTTTGTTTCAGCAAAGTTTCCGAAATTGTTGTCCGAAATTTGTCCGAAATGAGATCAAAAGTGTCCGAAAATTTAGCGCCCGCATTAAAACGCCCGAAATTGTTTGCAAGTAATGTAGTTTATGCTTGTGTTACATGTAAAGTTCAATAATGTTTCTGAACACGCGTAGATAGAGTAGCCGACATTTTTTTCGTATATTTTGCGGTCTAGTCAAGCCACAATAGGCCCAATATTTCCAAAATCTTGGGGTAAATGGTAAACAAACTCCGTCTCCCCAGCCTCCTCCGTCTGCCTAACCAAAAACAAAATTAACATTAGTGTTACTGGTGCTCTGAATTTTTCGTGCAAGCTAATTTTCCAAAGGCTATTACTAGTTTTGACAGCTCTACTGAGTACCTAATCTATCACATTCAAGGGACATGTCACAACACAACACATCAAGGAACTGCCAAAACATCTCAAATTGCACAAAACTAAGCATAGAGTCTAAGTTGCGCTAGCCTTTAGTGGGCAATATTCATGAACATTGTCTAAATGAGCACACTGTGACTGGCAATGAAAGATTCGCTCCCATTTTCCACCATCAAAATACGATATTTGCATTTGGTAAAAATCAAACGGTTTCAGTTGACTGAGTTTTTTCCTCTTAGAAAGGGTTAAAGCCCTTTTTCGGATCATTAAACAGAATGGGCTCAGCCTATCAGGAATGATTTTAACATTATAATGGTTTGTAATGACGCAAGGTCTGTTGTTTTGAAACACAACTAGCTTCAAATCTGCACAACAGACCACAACAGACCACAACATTTTAACAGTTAGGATATTTCAGATGGAAGCCCAGCAGATCCCTGCTAGTGTTAACAGCAGCGAGGATGTCTTCATTCCACAGGAAAAGTTCTACGGACCGTGTGACATCACTTTGCTGGTAAAAGATGGCATTGTCAAAGCCCACAAGAAAAATTTGTCAAAATCAAGCGACTTCTTTGAGAGTCTGCTAAACTCCAATATGAGAGAGAGGAACGAAGGAATAGTAAGGTTTGAAACGCTAAGCAAGGCCGATTTGGGAGATGTCCTGGAGTTTATTTACACCGGTAGCGTTGACATTTTATCCGAAAACCAGGCTAAGGAAATCATTGCGATAGCTGACTATATGCTGATCCAGCAATTAAAATATCTCGCTGGGAGATTCTTAGCAAACAAGTTAAATGTTTTCAATTGCATTCCGACGTACTATTTTGCACAAAGATTTCAATGCAAAGAACTCTTTTCGGACACCTGGAAATTCATCGTTGGAAATTTCACCGCTGTAGCGAAAACGAAAGAGTTTCTGGACTTGGCAGTCGAGAATGTTGAAATTTGGATTTCAAGCGACGAAATAAATGTTAGCGCCGAGGAAGACGTATTCAAGATCCTTTTAACTTGGATCGATCACGACAAAAGCGAGCGAAAGAAGTGTTTCGAAACCCTATTCAACCACCTGCGCCTTCCTTTCGTGACGCGTGACTACCTTCACAGAGATATCATGACAAATGATCTTGTGAGAGTTAATGAAAGATGTCTAGATCTTGTTGAGCAGACTTTAGAAATGGTTGACTCTAAAAACTACGACAATCTCTCTATCAGCCCCAGAAAGTCGCTTGAGATCCCTGTTATACTAGTCTGCGAGCACAATTTAGAAGATCAACTGCTCTGTTATTTCCCACGTGACAACAGCTGGTGTAAATTGCGTGAGACTAGCCCGTTGTGTGACCAAGTAATATCTTGTCATGGTAAACTGTATTTCTTATCAAAAAGTGAGTATAAACTGTTGCGCTATGATTCTTTTTCTAACCGCTGGAGCTCGTTATCATATAAAGGAGGAAAAGATATCCAGCAACTCTTTGTTAGAAATGATGATGAAATTTACGCTTATGCGACGGAAAATTCCACGTCTTGCCCTGGCTGTGTTGCACTACGCTGTAGTGGAACAGAAGACGGCGTCGTAGGAAGCTCTCGCTGTGGGAAGAAGCATTTTTCCCATTTCATGAAGTATAAAGCTGAAACAAACTTTTGGGAAGAGATTTCGTCATTTGACGTGGGATCTAGAGAAGGAATTTGCATCGTAGCCGAAGACAGCTTCATCTATTTTGTTGGTGGCAGACGATCCAACATGCAGCTGAAAGATGCAGACAGGTATGACCTTGACAAAACCAAGTGGGACAAGATACCTGACATGCAGAAAGCCAGACAATGGGCTTACGGTGCTGTCGCACACGGGAGACTTTTTATCACGGATAATGGCAAATCTTACCATGAGGAGAGAACATGCGAGGTTTACCTCGAAACAACAAATGAGTGGCAATTCATAGCAAGCTTGAGGATCCCACGCACCCGACAGGGCTGCATGATGTGTGTCGATGGCAAATTGTATGTACTAAACGATTGTGTTTGGTCTGTGAGTGGAACAAGAGGAAAGATTGAGTGTTATGACCCAGACAAGGATGAATGGCGGGAACAAACTGAGATACCCCTCAAACGAGTCACGTATGCATGGTATCTCTTAAACTCTTGTTCAATGAGAGTGTTTAAGGGAGGTTACCTTCATTGGCCACGCCCGTCAGGGTGCTGTCTCGAGCACAGTAAAACCTGTAACACTTTAGTCTAAGTGGTAGTCATTTCCTCTTTCAGCGATCAAGATGGCTGCAAGAAGGCTATCACGTACCTTGAAAAGAATTTGTCATTCTGAGATTTTTTTAGAAGTCTGACTTCCTTCATTCAATGCTTACAATTTTACTTTTTCTTAGCGTGACAAGGAAAACCAGCAGTAGCTGTTATTGCAGTTGAGTCTGCGGTCAAATATTCCTTTGTTTTACAAGGCGTGCAAACGAGGCGAGAGGGTCAATACAATGCAGTATTGACCCTTTCGCGTCGTTTGTGTGTCAAGACGCTGATAACTGCAATAACAGCTATTGTAGTAGATAGAAAAAAAATGAGTATATCTTTTTGTCGAGGATCAAGGGTCGAGGGTCCTATGTCGAGGGTCGAGGGTAATATTTTTTTATTAAATGGCACGGGTTATTTTCTGAGGTTTTGTTGTTTTTTTTTTACTCTTTGCGGTAGGCTCGATTTCCGCCGCTCAATCGAGTCCGGTCTATATGTTCCTCCCCGACTTGGTTAAATGTCTGCTAACATGATCGCACTTCAATTCATATCACAAACGTCTTTGCTACAGCGAGAAAGATAATTGATTTAGTCTGCTCGATTCAGGATCAAAGATGGAGGATCGAGGATCGAGGTTCGGGGATCGGGTATCAGTCATTTATAAATGGTTAAATAAATAAATACATAAATAAATAAATAAGTAGATAAATAAATAATAAATCAATATTAAAGATAACAATTACTATGACTTCTTGCAATGTAATAAAACCAGTACAAATTATACTTGCACTTGTTAGTCTTCTTAGTTATTTTCACGCGTTCAACTCGTCGGGGGAATGAGAAACGCGCAGCGTCACAATGAATGCTGAAAACTGACAGCTAAGTTGGGCATTTACCGATGAAAGTTCAATAGACCTTATCACGGTTTTCGACGCCATCTTGACGGCTAGGTTTAGTTAATTTTTCTAATTTTCCGTACATTTGTCTGTAAATTTGGCTGACGCGTTCGCTGGAAAAAAAATTACATGCAAATGTATTGAAAATTAGAAAAATTAACTGAGCGCCCTCTAGCCAAGCTAGAAGAATACAATCTTCTACCTAGTATTTTAACGTCGCGATTCACAGATTGTGTAAAATTCAATTTTGGAAAAAGTTATTTGTTATCGGATTCCCATACAAACACTGTAATTTCTGACTGCTTTGCCTACCCGTCAAGATGGCATCGAAAACCGTGATATGTAGACTATTTAAGCTCGTAAACAACAAAACAACAAACAACGCCGATAGCAGCAGGGCTATTCAAGGGTGCTGTGTTTTACGGAGTAAATTTCACCATCAAGATCAACTCGTCCTCGTCGTCAACAGAAGGACATAAACCACAAACGTATTAACGAACAAAACGCATATGTGACTGTTCAGACGAAGAAGACAGTCCACCTTTGACATAGAAAGAGTCGGCTTCGTTGAAAAGCTAAGTACTTATCTTTTTTCGAGCTTTTCCTCCTCTTTATTCAGTATATTTCTTGAATGAATACTTACGAAAAACTAATTCGTTGTTCCAAAATCTCATGCTGTAAGCTTAGTTAATTCAAATCAGCATTTTATTTTACTATTTCAAGCCTTGATTTAACTTGTAAGGCACTTTTTTTCTAAGTTATTTAGCAAGCTTTCAAAACCACATGGATACTTGTAAAAGCGATTTAATAAATCATCTTAAATTTCAAGAAAATCTCAGGTTGTTTATGATAAACAAACTTCATCATGGAAAGTGCTGACGTACGATATTTACGCACGAGTTCGTTTTCACAAAACGAACGAACGAGGCTTTGCTATATGTGGTATTGGTGTAGGCTCGATTACCAGCCGCTGTTTGGGAAAAGAGCCCGCGCTCCTCCCCCGAACTCGAGAAAGCGGCGGAAATCGAGCCTGGTAATCAGGTAATGTAGCCTGCGAACGCAGACGTATTTCCGGCTGTCGCTTGTCTCCGCCGAAAATAACGTCTACGAACCCGAGCCAGGAAACGATTTCTGTGACGTAGGAATTTTAAGCCAATCACAGTTTAGCTCAAGTAGCCCCAGAACTACTGCGCGAGGTATTCGCTCCGAGGAGCACTCGAGTTTCATTCTATCATGGAATCTGATTGGCCAAAGAGAAACAAAAGTCATTACGTCACAGAAATCGTTTCCTGGCTCGGGTTCGCAGACGTTATTTTCGGCAGAGACAAGCGACAGCCGGAAATACGTCTGCGTTCGCAGGCTACAGGTAATGGTGCTACTCTCTTATTTTTCATGGTATGGGGCTTGGTGCACGGACGTACGAACGGACAGTCACGTGACAAGCAAAATGTTTGAGATCGATGGGTTACCAAATTTTCTAAGGTATGGGACCCCGCTCGCGGGCTTTCGGCGCGCAGGAGCTCCGCTATTAGTCTATCTCGATCGGAAATGGTGCAAAAACGTTTTGAATGGCCGTTTTGAACCAAAGCATGAAACAAAATTTGCTTCATGTAAGGAGGAACAAAGTGTGCCTATTTTCCTTTCTTTGAGGCAAACCGCTGGCAAACGAGACTGAGCACACATTCACGCGGGGCACTCTGGGTAGTAGAAAAGATGAAGGATGTTGCTGAATGGCGCGGGAGATTTTAAAAATCAAGTAAGGTCAGCTCAGTTGACCAAATTTGTTGCTAAATGTTTAGTTTACGGTGAACTGGAGGTAACTTTGCCAGGTCGCTACACTGTAGCTGCTGTCGTCTACTGCAAGGTTTGTTTCACTTGACATGAACGTTTTGCAACGCTCGTTTTGGGAAAGCAATGAAAAGCAAATGGATGCAACGTGCGATGTGTTTCAATAAGGTAAGCTCATAAATGTTTTAATTGTGTGCGTTATGGTCATAAACTAGTGGAAACCCGTTACTTATGTTAAATAGACTGCTTCATTCCTTTTGAAAATGATGTTCTCTTGGTCAACCGTTGACCAGTTGGTACCTAAACGTGGCTAAACTAACCTCAATGAAACGCAAACTTTAGTTTCAAGTCAAGTATCCATCATACCTCTGTCATTAGAAGGTAGATATTTGTTTTGCCAGTTATTGATTTCTTTTGCAAAATTCCTAGTCGCCTTCCTTCATTTTGTTGTAGTTTCTGGCTTTTGGGTGGATTTGCAAAACATTCTCCCCTGCATTTGAGCGTGTTTGTCGTCCATTGTACAATGATTGAGGGATATTGCATTATCTAATAATATTTTTATTAAGCAACAGTTTTATTGCCACCAGTAAATTTGGGTATCAACCTTAATGACAAATTTATGCAGGATTTGTGATGTTTTCTACTTGAGGTTTCTGCTACAACATTAAAGGCAACACATCTTTACTGAATTACTTGTCAGACCTCATGGGGTTGTCCTCCACATATAAATGCATGTAATGGGTCACAGGAAGTTACCTCTACTATAAACCATGCCATCAACACTTACATTCTCGGCCAGGGCATGGACCCAGGCTGCCTGATCCTGAGTTCAGCATGCAACCATCAAGCCAAAGACACTATTACATGTGGTCATAGAAAGTGCTGGAAATCTCTTTCACTTGAAGTATGCACTGTAAATATAGTTTTCTGATTAAAGTTGAAGAGAATTCCTGGGATGCATTGTTTGATTTTACACCAGATTCTTAGAACTTACATCATAGCTAATAAGAAATGTAGGACCAACAGGAAAGAGAATTAACGTTGAAGTTTCGGGAGTGAAAGGGTTAATGTAAATTTTAGAGTCCTGGAAAAATCAATAA